CTCCCCTATGTCACGATACCGTGTCATGATACCTTGCTATCTTTTTTTAATACGGTAACAGTGAATTTAGGGAACTGAAAGGAGAGGGATGAGGCGGAGCCTATATACCTTCCGGGGGGAACTAATTGGCTCTTTTTTCTATAGCTCTAGAATCTTCCGGACGTCCTGCGCAGGCGCAAGATTAACCCATTTGTGTGAATTCACAGAGTACCACTACAAGAACCAAAGTTACAGGTAGGTAACCTAACTTTTTCTTCAGGGAATTTTTCAGTACCTCTATTTTGTTTATTTCCCTTATTTTCAAACCTACCTACTCTTTTTCTCTCATTTCCTCTTTTCTCACCTCTGCTTTTTATAGCACCAGCAGGGGAGCATCTACTAAGCAAGTGTGTAAAGAAGAAAGTCATCAGGCAAAAGAAACAATTAAGAGTGCATGTACACAGTGGTGAAAATATAGTTTGATCTGCTGTGCTTTGCATCTGTGGAAACCTGGTGTCCATGGGTGAAATCATTGCAGCTATCCAGACACAATTTGCAGCAGCCAGGAGAGCTGTCTCAAGGTGCTAATTGGCAATTTCATCCTCTCTCTTTTATTATTCTCCTAAGTGCCCTATACCGCTTTTTTATCCCCAAGGCTGTCTTTTCCATAGGTTTACAATTATCCACCTGGTAAGTAAACAAGAGTGCTTCAGTCTTTGCTGAGTTCATAACATCTTGCAGTATCAGTGCAGTTTCTGTATTGGCAGGATAGTTTATGCCACAAAATAGTAACAAAATAAGGCATTTTCTGGAGCCTGATGGTGCTGCAGCATCTTCTTGGGAACAGTTCCCTAACAATCCACCCATCTCTGCACAAAACCAAAGAGGTTCTCCAATGTACCCTTGAATGCTTGCAGAGTAGCAGTCACCCAGTTAATCTGCTGCAGAACTATCTGCACCCCTACAGACACAGCACTGTGAGGCTGCCACAGACTCCAGTTCAAGGTTCATCTTCCTGCCAATATTCTGGAATGTATAAAGCCATTTTTGTCTCACAGCACAGCAGCTTTAATTAGCCTAGTTCACATCCTAAGCATTGGGATTTTGTATTTTGCTATTTTCCTTTATTTTTTGTTGCTGGCCCCTTCCATGTTTCCTGTTGCCAGAGTGATGGAATCAAGAAACTATTAGAAGCTCTCCCTAATGTCCAAGAAAACGTTTTAATTCAGACAGTGCTTCAGCTAAGCTAATCATAGCAAGGGTGTTCTCCTGCGGCATTCTCTCAGGATCCTGTGAATAGAAGCCTCGTATTGAGAGTCTGCTGTCAACACTCAAAGAGTCCAATCAACTGCCCAGCATAAGCTGGCTAGAGATCCATATAATCAACCAAGCTTTCTTGTCCTCTTCACACTTTAGAAGTCTCAGCACATCATTAGGACAAGAAGTGCCACACAGCCTTTCTAAACAGCCAAGATAAAACCAGTTCCTGCTCCCTTCCCTTGGACAGAATTCAACTTGTTCGTTCATCACAGCAACATCTTCAAGAGATTTTTTCACATGGTAACCAACTGGTTAAATCCTCAGTCCAGTTAAATAAAATCTCAATTTAATTTAAAGAAATCTCAAGATGTCACGATTCTTTTACAGATTCTAGGCACTGAGCGCAGAAGCACCTATATGAACATATACGTATAACTTCCTCACAGAACTGCTTGGCAATAGAGTGAGCTACTATGAAAGCTGGTGGACTCTCCATAATGGGAGGTTGTAAGATACCGGTTGGATGTGGCAGGGATGCTTTAGCTGTAGATTTCTCTTTCACCAGAGGGTGAAAGAGATTCTTTGGGCCCCTCCTAGCTGTACAATTCTGTGATTCTTCCCCCTGTCCCATCCCCATTGGCAAAGTTATCATATACCTCCAGTACTGATCAAACAGTAATCCTAGAAGCCATACAGTGGTGCCTCGCTTAACGAGCGCACCGTATAACGATGAATTCGCATAGCGATCCCTTTTTTGGGATCGCTAATGCAAAGGCATCCCAACCGCCGCAATGGGCAAAACTCGTATTGCGACGCCCGCGGATCAGCTGTTCGGCGTTTTCAAAATGGCCGCCGAATGCCCAAAATGGCCACGCGCAGCGTTTTCGCACCCGTTTTCGCTTAGCAAGGGCACGAAAATGGCTGTGGATTGGGAAAACGCCGCCGAATGCCCAACAGAAGCCATTGGAACGCATTAAACTAAGTTTAATGCGTTCCAATGGCATTTTCCACCCCGTTTAGCGATATTTTCTTATAGTGATGGTTAATCCGGAACGGATTAACCTCGCTATGCGGGGCACCACTGTATACTATTTAAGGACACCTAATTCTCCACAATTGTTTACTCAGCTAAGACCAGACCCTGGCTCTTCTTGAAAGAGATTTGGGAATGGCTCCATTTATTCACAAGGAAAACAAAATGGAACCTTCTTAAACTTCCACTATTCCATAGAGTTATCAAATAATATCATTTGCTACCTTATAGAAGCAATTGAATGCCCTCAATCTACATTTAGGAAGCTTCAAGGAAGACTTTCACCCAGNTTAGAACAATTTTGCTTGCTGTGAGTAAGTTTTCAAGCAATTAGAGTGATTTAGCTATTAACTTATTACTATGGAACACATAGTTCTTGAGTCATAGATGTGAAGGTGGGTTCACGCCATGATCCTGTTTTACGAAGTCCCAATTCATCTCGCTCTGAATCCAGTGCTGCTTTGACTCTGTGCCACCACAGACTCTTCCTCCAGAACAATTTTGCTTGCTGTGAGTAAGTTTTCAAGCAATTAGAGTGATTTAGCTATTAACTTATTACTATGGAACACATAGTTCTTGAGTCATAGATGTGAAGGTGGGTTCACGCCATGATCCTGTTTTACGAAGTCCCAATTCATCTCGCTCTGAATCCAGTGCTGCTTTGACTCTGTGCCACCACAGACTCTTCCTCCATTGACTGCAAAATGCAGCTACACTGACTTCCTCTGAATTAGGGGTTGGCTCCTGCAAACCCTGCAAGAAAGGGAAACAACCAAATGGCATAATTTGATTCATTCACAACAAAAAATGTTGACATTATGCTAAGCGCTGCAGAGATTTAAAACATGACTCAGTGTCAAAATATTTCCCAATCTAAGAACAAAACACAAAAAGAAGATCAAGAGAACAGTCCAGTTTCAAAACGTATCCAGAATCTATCTTTAAAGCAGTGTTCATCCAGTCTGACTTTTTATGGCAAAAGTGAGTAGGATGAGAGAAAACATTAAGATATCTACTGAAACTTGCCATATTAAAAAATTAAGTGTATAAAGCAGTGGTTATCAACCTTGGGCCCTCCACATGCTTTGGACATGGACAATGGTTAGGATTTCTGGGAGCTGAACACTGAAAGAATTGGAGGACCACAGCTGGTGACCACTGGTCTAGAGTTTCCATGGATTGCAGCCAACTTCTTCAGATGCATCTGGAAAAGTAGGCCATGGTGCACAGAAGCCCATGCTGACGAAAATCAGGCTTTCAGGCAAGATGTGACTTTTCTTCATTTGCTGCAACACCAGACTAACACAACTATCCCTCTGGAAATGTTTGCATTACAGAATATCTCAAAAGTTTACCTTGACACAAGCAGCTTCTGCTGCCTTTAACATCTGTAGAGTGACCTGGACAAGGTTCTGCGCATTGCTCACAAGGTGCTCTGCTGATGACCTGCTTGTGCCTGTTGATGCATTCACCCTTGGAAGTACAGAGATAACATGTTATGTCTGAGACACAAATGGGTGTAGCATGAGAGTTCTGTGGTTTATGTTCGAGAGATTCAAAGTGTGTGCCTTTCATCAGTTTGGTGGTCTTTGTGACTATGAAGCATCAAGGATTTTCACTCGTGTTCCCTTCTTTTTGCAATCCCTTGTGCAGCCACCTAATTCCACAAAAAAGGGTTGGGGGCCCTTAGAAAGTAAGTGGGATGAGAGTATCAGAAATGAATTTGCAAAAGACTCTTTTTCTTTGCCTGCTTTCTGATGGAAATCTCTACTGGATGAAAGCACTCAGAAAATAGGTTCTGTCTTATTATAGGATAATATGATACAACCACAATTATTAATAATAATAATAGTAGTAGCAGTAGCATCCCATATAAGAAGACAAAACCTATTTTCTGAGTGCTATCATCGCCACTGAGAAAAAGGAAGGATCAGTGCACCCAGGGAAGTTTTTGCATGAAGTCCAACAACTTTTTGTTTAAAATGTAAAATGGACTTTAAAAAAAAATCCCTGTGAGAACTGAGTATGCTTATTGGTCAGTGAATATGATTGTGGCAATGGGAAGAAAACCAGGAAGTGAAATAGTTATGGCATGGTGTTTCTTGAAAAAAGCATGGCTGGCTGCAATCCTGAACAATCGCTGTCATTACCCGACTTCAATGGGAAGAAGGTGCAATGAACTGGTAAAGACTGTATAATTCCTAATAACGGTAATGCTAATGGACACAATCAATGTTCACGTACGGTTTCTGTAACTTGCCACAGATAATGGAAAAGGTGCTGGAGCCACATTTTAATTGTGCAATGGGGTGTTTAGCCAGGCATGCAATCAACATATTATATCCCAGCACCTTGTCAATTAGCTGCAATTACCTATGGCAATTTATACAAACCTTAAGCAAACACCAGTAAGATTCTGGCTAATATTTCCCTGCAGCCTTTGGGAAAGACAGTACTTTTACACACAAAAACACTGGGAACAGTGGAATAGCTATTCGACATCCTATACCTTCCTTTCATTCACTAGACTAGAGATTTCCTTATACTACCATTACAACTAGTAAACAAAAAAATAAAATGCAAGATATTTTACTGTATGGAAAGTCTTTTGTTAAATTAATTTATTTCTCTTATTTATAGGTGGTCTTAAGAGGACTCAAGGGGACTTAAAGAGCTACTGTAATATTTCAAGCATTATCCTAACACCACTCAGCTGTGGATGGCTTCATCATGTCCTTTCTTACAAGTAACTTTCCAAGGCAGTTACCTGGAAATTATGCTAAGCTGATAGCTAACGGTCTTGGTTTGCTCCATAGCATACAGCAATTCAGACGCACATCTTTTATCCAGGCAGTTTTTCGCGATAATGGTGGCAAAATTCATCAAGACATGTCCTCCAGAAATTATTTGTCTAGCACAATCAATTAGTTGTTCTTTGGTCTAAAAATCAGAAGCAGTTAAAAAAAATAAGTACCGTTCCCCATTCATACATTTCTAAACTGCCCTTTTCCAGAAGAACTCAGAACAATGTTTCCAAACCAGTTTATACGACCTGTGGAATGAAAAGGTAAAGTTTTCATAAACTGTAGTCCTTGATTTATGTTGTAAGAGTATTGAAAGGCTGTGATGATTAAAAAGGAAAAAACTGTTCCCATCTTTAAAAATACAGGAAGTCAGAGGAAAGACTACGTTGAATCACCTTCCTTGATGTTAAAAAGCATTTCAATATTTTGGTGTCTTACCTACAGTATAAAACAATCGAGTTGTAACTAGGGCGGAGAAAGCAGTGCTTTTCCCTAGGATGCCAACATTTGTAGGATGCCAAAAGTAGACGTGAATGGGCTTGAGATTGTCAGGAAAATAAATGGCAACCTGTCCCAGCTCTAGTCACTTTGAGGGAAGCTTTCCACTGGTTGAAACAGGAAGCGAAATACTGCCCCTTCAGCCTTGTTCCACAGTGGCATCCCCTCTAAAAGAAAGAGAAAGTTTACGCTCTCAAAGAAAAGGATATCATCACCTCCAGTCTGTTCTCTGCTGCACAAGACTCTCATGGCTGTGGTGCCCATACCCTGCATCATATGCCCAAGGAGGAGGAGGAGACTACAAGGACAGCAGTATTGTGGGGCAGCTATGCTCCCCTAGGGAAGAGGAGGAGGAACGTAAAGGGGGACCAGGTGGGAACTGAGGCTGCTTGCCAAAATTGCTGGCCATAGGTGTAGCACAAGATGAATCTGCTCGTGGTACAAAGGGGGACATCAATTTTGAACATCTTGTGAAGTCCACCTAGAGTTCAGGAAAGAGAAAACCACTCTCTGTTTATTATGAAAACTGCATTGTTTCAGGGAAGTCTGAAGAATTCTGCATCTGAGGAAGTGGATTGAAATTCACAAACAGGGCCAACCATTAACCAAACTGAGGGGGTCGCCTGGCACTGGCATAATCATCAATGAAGTCGGCACCATCCCCAGTCTCTGATGCTTCCTGAGGGCAATAAGTACTTCTGGAAAAAGCACGAGGTCTATCTCTTTGCAAAGGCTAAAGCAGGAACAGCCAGCCAGATCTGTTGTCTCCATCTCTGGGAACAGGAAGTGCCATATAGAGCAACTGAGGATATCCAATCTATAATGTGCACATAAAGTATTAGAGACATTTTTATAATGAAAATCCTCCTAATAAACAAATAATGCATGAGGTTATGACCTTCTGAACCTTTGCCCTGGAACAGAAATTTGAATATTTGTCTTGCCACACCACCCACCAGGCCATTTTTCAGGAGACATTCTGTAATTAGACAATAATTACCGTGACTGGTCCCTTCCTTTTTAGGAACTGTGCCATGTAGGACACATTTGTTGTCAGCTGCTTGGCAACTTGTGAAACTGGGCAATTATCATGCTGCCATTTCGGTCTCAAGTTGTGTGCAGAGTGACTGGGCTGGAAACCACTTTGCAGTTCTCCCTGGTACTGCAGAGATAATAAAACAAGATCATAGTTTCTTATTCCACCAGACAGTTGGTGGCACACAATTAATTAGTTGAATAATTAACCATTTTAATTAATTTTAAGAACTTTCCTGATCATTTATGCCTCCAAAGCAATGTGTAGTCAAATATAATTAAGACATATTTTGAATGTTTTTTTTTTAAAAAACTAATTTTCCAAGCTAATTGGGGGAAAAGAAAGGCCAGATGGAAAAAATGCAGTGATATTTTTACACTGGTATTTTTAACCACTCATTGAAAGTTCAAGAAGGATGGAACCAAATTTTTCTAAGAGGTGATGGCAAGGATTTATAAGACTTCTGTTTTTGCTTAACAGCTGCAACACCCTCCTAAGCAAGTAATGATTAAATCTGACAACATAAATACCAAATTTTTCTAAGAGGTGATGGCAAGGATTTATAAGACTTCTGTTTTTGCTTAACAGCTACAAGTAATAATTAAATCTGACAACATAAAACACTCTTCTTCCTCTGTAGAGGTACTGGGGCATGTCTCAGTTGTATGCCTGGTCAAAGACCTGAATATGAAACCAAGATGCACCTTGGTACCTGATCAATTAGGTGCAAGTGGGTGCAGCATGTTGCACAAACTTTATGTGCACACCAGTACATTTCCAGCCACTCTCTACAATCTCACTGCCACCTATGCATTCTGGATTCCTGGATAACATTGCACAACCCCATGAACCAGGCTATAATCCACAAAAAACACATTCTACAATAAATTTGTTTAAGGCATTAGACTTTTTGTTATTCATCACCTTAAGCCTTGGTTTAGGTGACCTTAATCAAATACCAAACACTTGATCTTCAGTGTTTCCTTATTAACTGCAGACTGCTCTTTCCTGACAGATGCCTCTGCTAGAGATCAAGGACTACTGTATTGCATGCGTTCAAAGGATTTTTAGAGAAAAGGATTTCACCAGAAAAACCAAAGAGGGTTGGCAGGAATAAAGAGAAAAATGTAGCTCATAAATGTTGATGGACTGTTGTATATAAATTTCTGGACACACTTTGATGGGTAGTTCCTCAAGGATGTGTCTTGCACTTTTATTGATATCTTATTAGATAAATGGGTGAAATGTAATAGAATCATAGGATAATTTAGTTGGATGGGGCCTATAAGGCATCAAAGCCAAACCCTTAGGCCATCAAGTCCAATTGGTTTAATTAAAATTTTAAATTAGCATACGTTGGCATATAAATAAACAAAATGGAACAGGTATTGTTCCATTGATTGAGGGAGTCACTTTTGAGCCAAATGGGTTTGAACTTAAAAACTGACCAAATTGACTGACTCAGATTCCAGCCCCGTTCCGATTGCCAATACAGCCGCTAAAAGAGCTACCGTAATTTTAAAAATTGTCTGTTTCCCGTCCTGAAGAAAGCCCAATGCTGAATTTCTTCCTTACTCCCTGAACCTTGGTAGGAGGAACCTTTGAAACACAGATCAACCATTAATCCGAAAGAGGACCACTTAGGTCCCTGCTATTGAAACAGGCCAGCTCATTTACACATACAAATAAATTACTACCTCTAGATTACCATTTCTTTATTAGTAGATAATCCAGTCAACATTTTTCAAGCATCTTCCTGTATGCTAAGAGCAAGTCTGCACGTAAATTTGCTTTGTGCAATGAAAGAATGTAGTGTTAAGCAAATACATCAGAATGCAACATCCCAAGTGGATTTTTCAGAAAAGATTTAGGATCCAGTGTGCATCTCTTCCTCCTCACCATGCATTCCAGCAAAAGCACTGAAATGCTAACTGGTGTCATTGGTGAAGTACAGTATGTACTTAAATAACGACTCACTTAAATTGCTGAGATACTGTTAAGAGATACTATTCTTACCTTTTTACTTGCGTCCCCAGCAAATGAAGCTCCTTGGCTAGTTTTAGTGGTCTTGCATTTTGGACTCATAACGTCCTGATGCCTCCTGCTCTCTTCCTCCTTCTGCAGGCAGAACTGTGTTTTCCATAAAGGCTGATTGGACTTGGAATATTCCTCCATGTTCTGCAAGCACTTCCTAACTTGCTCCAAGTCTGTTTCACTTATGCCTTTTGTGGAATACAGCTGACTTACAAGATACCCAGCTTTTGCAGACCACTCATATAGAATACTGTCTGTTAGAAGATGCTCCTTGTCTAGCTGGCTTTGAAGTTTCCTGGTTTTTCTTACTACTTCATCAGTTAGGAGCAGAAGGTGATCCACGGTGGAAAGCAGACTCTCCTTTGCTTCCAAGGAAGAAGAGTTCTCTGGTGTATCTCTGATTATTTTTTTAACTATCTGGATACTTGCTATGAGTTGGCTTGCATTTTCCCCAAGGGCCACATTGTCAATTATATCGGAGTCACCCTCATTGCCACATGGCATCAACCGGGTTTGTCTGACAATATTTTGGATTCTGCTCATGTATTCTCCATTTACTGTATTCAGTCTACTCAGGAGGACTTTTGCTGTTAAGGCAAGTTCTCTTTGGAGAAGCTCAAAATGAGCAGATAAATTTGGAGCAGGCGAAGAAGAGGCAGAAAGGACATCGGCAACTTGAAGCAAAGATTCTGTCAGAATTTTCATCTGCTCCCTTAGCATTATAATCTCATTCTTGTCACTGTGATCAGTATTGGACAGAAGTGACAATCTGGTAGCTTCTCGGATTCTCAGACTACTTTCTGAAACTGCTGCCAAGGTGCTTTGCCAGGAAATTCGGTGTTTGGTTTGCAAATCACTTAAAGACAATACATCTCTTCCTATAAACTGATCTACAGAGTTCAGAAAAGCTTGGATGGTGACAGACCACAGAATACAATTTGCATCAAAATTTTGCAGCTTAGCTGAGTCAGAATGGGGTTTATTGACAGCCAGTGCCTTTTCAAGCAAGCATTTTGTCCTGGTTTCCACACTACTGAACTTAGCCAGAACTCGTAGAAAAGCTTCATGACGCCTGGAGAACTCAAGGATCTTTTCAGATTTTGAATGAGTAGCTTTGCTAACCAATTGAACCATAGTTCCTAATATCTCCATTATCTCCTCTATGACTTGATTGCTGTCAAGACAGTCAGATGGAGATGTGATGCAAAATAGCTGCTTTGCCAGTTTGTACCAAGGGCTTGCAACAGTAGTCAGACATTGCTTAGCTTCATCTAGCTTTTCAGAAAGCAAATCTGCTATCTGAAAAAGTTTATCTGGACTAGAAATAGGGTCTGGAGCTACCTCTTTGGCTAAGCTGATAAAACAAGGGATCAATGCCACAATTTCTCTGTAATTCAATAGTTTTTCTGACACAGGTGACTTGGCGACACTTAGGGCTTCTTTAGCTGCCTCAGTGCAGTAGTTGGAAAACTCAAATAAATCAGAACAAGCACTGTTCAGTCTTGTGATGTTCTGTGTCTCTGTTGCCAAAATGAGCTCCCTAATCAGAGGATGCAAATCAGCTTTTTCTGATGTAACTTCAGATAATACAATACTGTCTCTAGGACTTAATTGGGAAGGGCGAGTGGCTGGAAAATGCTTGGCCGTGGACTCCTCCATTGATTGTAAATTGTTTGAATGACTTTGCTTTATGGCGTTCTGTTCAACAAGCCCTGTAGGATTCTGAGGGGTGAAGCAACATGGAAAGTCTTTGGAAATATTGTGATTTCGAATGTTTTCCCGAAGTGGGCTAAGAATATCTGGTTGGTTGCATTCATCTAGCCCCATTCTGACACTGTGAGCTGATTCAATCAGTTCTTTTGCTTTCTTTGAATATTCATTTTTGGCTTGCAGGCAGTTAATATTTCCCATGCACCGATCTATAGCAACTTTAACATGCAGCATGGTATTTTCCAAATGCTTAACTAAAACAAGCAGCCCATTTCGGAAAATTGGATCTCTAGCTCTGTCGACGTGTCTGCTAGCAAACTCAACTACTTGAGTAACTTGTTTGGAAATTTTGAAGGCAGAGCAAGAAAAATCTCCAGAATTCTGATCATCCAAAGCCTTTTCACTCTTCTCTTTGTGTGCAATCAACTCCTGAACAGACAAATCAAGGAATTCTCGTAGGTCAATTACTTTCTCCAGACACATCAGCAAGCTTTCTATTGTGCTTGACCACATCTGACACAAAAAGTGCAATTTTTCAGACACATAATGATCAGCAGGACGGTGGCTTCTTTCACTGAGAATGGCGGGCACTTTGGCTAGAAGTCTATGCATCAGGTCAACACCATCTTCGATATCTTGAATAGTTTCCATTTCAGTGCACGTGCCAAGGACCAAACTGGCCGTGTTGAGCATCTGATTGGAATGGCTGAAGAATATGGCAATGAGAGGCTTCAGTTTTCTTAAGAATTCTCCCTTCTCAGCAGAAACACACGGCTCCTCAGCAGCTTCTACCAACCTCTTAAGTGGCCCTTTAACATCAACAAAGTTGTCCAGAATCTGATAGAAAATAGCAGTACATACTGCTTGATTAAGGTTTTCCAGCTCAACTTTCATAGCAGAACATTTTTCTTTTGTACTTTCCTCTACCTGCGTTTTCATTGGGAAGCCCTTTGGTGTGTTTACATGCATGGCAATAGCCTTTCTGAACTTCAAGAGACAATGACAGAATTTGACCAGCTTCAGCTTTTGAGCTGGCCTCGATGAGTCAGCTAATCGCATGCAGTAAGAGACTAGAGCTTCTACAAGGGAATTTAATTTGCCCTCCTGTAGATCAATAACCTGTGGACTGGACAGGAAACTTGAAAGCTTATGCAGATGCTGGGAAAAGACGCCACTTCTGTTATGCTGTTTTTTAGTTCCTACATTATTGCTCAACAGGCTGATCAATTCCTTGGCTGTGTTTTTTGCCAAGTCAAAAATATAGTTGTTCGATTGTTTCAGTTGGTGATCACTGGGGTGCTTCAGGTTACTGAGCTTTGCGGTGTGTAGCATAGGAATGCAGTTTTTAAGGATCTTCAGGCTTTGAGCCAGATGTCCCTGATGTGGAGATTCTTTAAGATCCCAAAGGAATCTTTCTGTCAAGTTGGTTAGCAGCAACAAAGCCTCTGAAAAACTGTGGAAAGCAGCCAGCATTGCAGATATAACTTCAGCAGCTTCCAGCATGAGGAGGCAATCCAAGAGCCAATGGGCAGATTGAATGATCTTCCTGACCACGGCATCATCTTCTATCTGGAGGACCTAAAATATTCATATTTAAAAATGAAAAAGCAAAATAACAGTGCTAGTACTTCTCCAAGACCTTTGTAATTTACCAGTATAAAATATTATTCACTATACACTATAGTATAAAATATGACATTATATTAGTACAGAAAATTGAGTATAAATTTTTTTTGATTAACATAAATATTAAAAATCATGTTAAAAGTTATGTTTCGGCTGTAATTCTCTGCAAAATCCACGATTCCATGGTTATTCTGACAAGATTCCTACAAAAGTGTGGCCAATGTTCTGTATTTGTGATGGCACAAATAGGCCATCAATCATGCAACCAGTTTCAAGGTTTTGGAGGGTTGCCTGTCCTGTAACCCAGTGGTTCCCAACCTTGGGCCTCCAGATGTTCTTGGACTACAACTCCCAGAAGCCTTCACCACCACCTCTGCTGGCCAGGATTTCTGGGAGTTGAAGTCCAAGAACATCTGGAGGCCCAAGGCTGGGGACCACTGCCGTAACCCATTGCATGATCAGTTGTGTGCCGGATATTCTACCAAAATGCTGCAAACTGCTCACATAATCACAGTTGCACATACAGATGCTTCACCACCGTCCTGGACACAAGACAGGTCCTTCTCAGTGGTGGCTCCCATAGTAATGGAACTCCCTTCTGAGAGGGGCTTGGCTGCCCCCCTCTGTGCTCTCTTGCAGCCACGCAAACACAGTGGGGAACTGAACTCCCAACCTCTGCAGCCGGGTACCTAAACCATTGAGCTATCCAGCAGTCCATTTCTCATTGAGCATAGATAAGTCTTATCATCACAAATTGCTGGATACTTAGTAATCTTAAAAGGCACAGGTAAAAGACGTAGGCAACCTGACCCATTTCTGAGCCCTTGTACCAACCTATATATTCATTTTGATTCAGGCCAGGAGAAGACTTGATAGGCTTTGTCATCAAGCAAACACAGTTAATAGGGAAACAAACATTTCCCATCTCTGCATAGACTGGCATGTTGAGCAATGCTTCCATGGAATAAGTGCTGGTCAGGGTCTCGCAGGGAAGCATTTATGAATGCCTATTGCCAAAGCGAGCTGCTGTCATCCATCCAATTTATTTTCTGACTCCTAGAACTAAAACATGCTCAGAAAGCTAGCGATTTGTGCTTCTGGCTTGCTACACCGAGAAAAAGAGGCACCTCAAGCAAGCAAGCAAGCAAGCAAGCTAGCAAGCAAGCTAGCAAGCTAGCGATTTCTGCTTCTGGCCTGCTACACCGAGAAAAAGAGGCACCCAGTCTGGTGTAGTGGTTAGAATGACAGACTAGAACTCTGGAAACCTGGATTCAAATCCTGTCTTGGCCGTAGAAATTCTACTGGGGGAGATGAATGGGTAAAACCACTCCTTACGTATCTTACCTTGAAAGCCCTACAAGGATTAATATAAATTGGTTACAACTTGATGGCACACAACACCCAGAATACTTCAGCCAGCCTGGTCAGTGATCACACAGACTAGAATACTCTGAGTACTATAGGCATCATCTTCTTCATCATCATCATCACCATAAAAAATTAAGCATTCCATTTATCCGGATGTGTGCTGAAACTTATGCATAGAAAGTGTATCATACTTTTACGGTTTCCATAATAATCCTTTTTGCACAAAGAGCCAGTTCCTCTATGCAGTTATCAGCATCAGGTTGAATGTGAAGCTTCTGAGCTACCAGAAGAATGTTTTTTCCAGAGATCAAGAGAGACTCAGCTGCTGGCGCCATTTTCTGCTTAAGCATCTCATCTTCTGATTCATCAGCCAGCCTAGAAT